AGGAAATCACAGGTAGAGTTGACAAACGAAACCAAAGGCTTCTGCACAGCTAAGAGAAAAATTACTAATATGAGAACATAGCTTAGAAGGTGAAAGACTTTGCTAACTATTCATCCAATGACAAATACGCGCATGAAAGTTCCCAGGAAGAACCTGGCCTAACCAGATTAGAACTTAAAAGGCCGTGCAGAGGGTGAAATGTTGCAGATCCAGGCTTGTATCTTCAAAGCTCAAGTAGTATTTTCTGCAAATCCATACTAAGACAGAACTATTCACAACTGCCAAGATGCACACACACACACATACACACAGACACTACTCATGTTCATATAAATCCATATATACACATATATTACTCATATATATACACACATATGAGTATGTATAACTATATTACTCATATGCATATACATAACAATATTACTCATATAGATACATACCCATGTATAGATATATATTACTCATGTACACATATGTATGCATGCATATACACATATTACTCATGTGTGTATACACCTATACATCTATATCACTCATATGTATGCAATATACACATATATATTACTCTGTGTATATACACACAAAGGAGTGTTATTCAGCTATAAAGAAAAATAAAATCATGTCACTTGCAGAAAAATGTACAAAATTGGAAAGTGTTACTGTAAAAAAATAACAGACACAGAAAGAAAAGCAAAAAAGGGAGGGAATGTTTAAGAGGGTCTTAGAAAGGGGGACAAGAACACTCCCCTTCCTGGACCTGTTTCTTGCTAACTGAGTCAAAAATATGGACATAGTTGACTGGAGATTTCTCAACACAGAAAATTCCAGAGATTATACAGCCTAAAAATATCACACATAGAACTGCTAAGGTGGCTAGTTGACTGTGCCTTGGTAAAATATATTGCAACTTTTTTGGTGTGTGATCTATATATCTTTATTTATACTTTCCTTTTTATCCACATTTTTGTCTTCTTAAAAAGCCCTTTCTTGTGTGGGTTTGCAGAAACTAATACTTGAGTTTTGACACTACAAGCTTGGATCTGCAACATTTCACCCTCTGCACAGCCTTTTAAGTTCTAATCTAGTCAGGTAAGGTTATTTCCAGGAACTCTCTTTCAGTGTGCTCATAAATCACCCTATGATTTTATATATGTGTAAAGGAGTCAGAATGTTTTCTTCCTGTCCTGTAAATAGTGTAACTCCAAAAGCCCCCAAATCGCTTTCCATGGTTGATGACCCTTAGAGGCACTTTTCACTGACTCAGTTCAAAATATGTATGCCCTTTCTCCTAATCAACAAACAGGCCGAGCTTGTGTCCTGTTGACTCATCTTAAACTTCTTTATTGCAGTCTTAATTTCAGAATACACATGGTTCCAGCTATACCCAAGTAGAAGCCCCTGAGACAGTGAGGCAGATTCCTCAGGCTGCACTGCCAAAAGTACTGAGCTGTTCCCTAGGCCACTGACTGAAGGAGCACTCTTAGGGATATACAATTTGATGTAGGGAGAGGACAACTTAGATATTAAACGTTCCATCACACTGTGCCTCAGGGTATCATGGCCTGATTCTTTTTTAGCCCCCCTCCTGCCATCATACTGCTGATTGATGGCAGTGTTGGGGCCAGAGCCACTCTGTTGTCTGTCTGGAGCTGTCATTACTAGAATGCTCAAGACACTTGATGATTCTGAAAGTCTGGACCGGGGAGAATAACCATTACTAAAGATTTTTTTCCACTTTTTTCTTTATCTTGATTTTCTCTCACTTAGTCACTTAACTTTCAGTTCTACAAAAGATGCATGAGTCAGAACTTCTGTATATAGTGTCTATCTATCTATCTATCTATCTATCTATCTATCTATCTATCTATCTATCTATCTATCTATATGTCTACACCTACAAGGAAACATTGTATTGGGAAGAATTAAGCGGGCAAATAACTTATTCAAGATGATCGAAATAGGGGAAATAAATGGGATTCAATTCTTCTGAAGCAAAAAGCAGAACAGAAGCAACAGAGTACGCTGCCATGAACTAATGGGAAAATCTCAGAAGGCATTTCAGAGGAGGTCAACCAATGGCTTAGATGTTTGCGTTCCCAGCTTGCCTTCCTGAAGCTGGGCAGAGAACTTTCCTTCTTTCCTTCCTTCCTTCCTTCCTTCCTTCCTTCCTTCCTTCCTTCCTTCCTTC